CCTTTCGGGGGCACAGAAATCGGGCGGGACTTGTTGGTCTTGTTGTTTTTATGTGTTATTTCAGATAGGTAATTTATGGGTCACTTATGGACCAATAATGAGTTTTTCGATTAACAGCAACATCTGATTTAGTTTCCTTGAGGCAAATAAAAGCGGTAATCGATGCCCGGATCACGTGAAAACACTAAACAGTGGAACACTTTTGCATTTTTACCGCTAAAGAGCAACACCTGCTGTGATATTAAGTTCCTTTTAATAATTTTGTGTGGCTAATGAAAGCTCCTGTGCCTTGTGATTCAGTCAGTATCATCAGACTTCCATTAGTTGCTTCGCCATATTAGGTAAGTATCTTAACTTCTTTAAAAATATTACGGTGGTAATTGTCCTGGAACTTTATCCGCATACTGCCGACATTTTCAGAGGGATGATTTTTTGACAAAGCTCCCTTCTCCGTGCAATTGTTGGAATGTTGAAAACGAAAAAGCCGTTTTTCCGTTAAATCAACAGTGACATCAAAAGCAACGATAACTTACTATGGATTCACTTAAGAGCGGGCTTCTGTTACACTCAACTCTAAACTCCTTCCATTTATCCCTCAATAGCTGAATTTAAAGACTTTGTTATTTTAGCGAACTGACTTCTTCTAGAGGGAATTTTGTTCGTTTAAGTGCTAATTTTCGCAAAAATGCAAGCATACTCGCATTTACTCGATGAACATGCATTTGGTTCTGGCGGAAACAGCAGTGATTACTTTTACCAATTTTCACTGTCACCGCCTAGGCAGTTGTAATTCTCTTATACACTGCTTATTATCGATCGAACAAACTTGTTGTTTCGAAAGAGGACGCGAGTTACGAAGACATTGCGACGTAGCGACTGCTACCACGATAAAAGCTAACTACATCCACCGGCTGACACGAGCAAAAAACCCAAAATTCGAGTGACATAAGAATGAGTATGGACGCCAATCTCCGACATCTCTGAACTATCGGATGGCTTCGGTTCGTGCTTTGAGGGACAAAAATACAAAGATCATCGGCTTACATTCAAAAATAATATGATGCTTAAGATTCTGTGAAGCAACCACATGTTTTCTTTAGGACTTCCCGAAGAAGTCGCTTTACCTGGCGTGTGGAGTATAGGCCAAAAAATTCCCTATATAGGTTGATTAGGCTTTTCAGTTTCCCTGTTTAGATCTCGTCTTGAGTGCTACTGTTCTGCGAGGAAGATTTATCTCCATGCATTAGGACATGACAAACTTTTAACTGTGTCTACGCCTTCACTGTCAGCAAAACTTGAGGAACATTGGGCAGCTGACTGCTGCTTTCCCCATCCCCATCTGGATCAACTAACTTTGCTCATGAGTGCTGCACACACTCTATCTGTCTTGGGGTTAATCTTCGTACCTCTACTATCTTTTCTGTCCTCGAGCGCACAGGACCGAGGTCCAGTGCAAATAGCCTTAGAGCACAAGGACGTCATTTTTCACCTATAATATTATAGCTGCTGACTGGCCATCTGTGCGCTCTTAAACTTCGTCTCATCGCATCTTTTATATGATGAAGTCTCTTAAAGATTTGAGAAGGCATTCCTTTTTCTTCAACTTTTCGGGGAAGGCTTTTCAGGCTCTATCCGAAAACAGACATGAATGTCTAAAATGGAATCCATTGGTTCCAGTGGACTAATTGCGTATAATTCGAAATCTGTCAAGAGGCGGCCAACAGTGTATAAGGATTGATTGATTTGTCGGGCTGAGAGGAGGGGTAATAACTAAGTGCCGAGACACATGTTGGCCAATTTTGTGCCGCCACACTACGCATTCGCGGAGGATCGGACTCATCACCATCCGTAGTGTAATTTACTGTAACACTTCAGACTGCAATATTGCTTTCTGAAATTACCTCAGAGAGAGATAGAAGTGAACTTGGAGTTAATGCTTCAATGCCAGTCTGTTTGTATGCTGTTCAAAGTCTGATGGCAGTGTTTCGGCTGACTTCCATCGCATTGCGCAGAATAACGGCTGACAGGCAGTCACAGGTGAGCAAATATTCACGGAGGGACCATACTCCCAGCACGGTGCCAGCGGA